TATTTGCAAGACCGCCTCCTACCAAATATCTCCCTTCGACCAGTCCGCTCCCACAGAGAGGGCCTCCTTAGGGTACCGTCGGCCAGCCAATGCCGGCTGGCGACCCCCAGGGGGAGAGCCTTCTCTGTGGCAGCTCCTGCCCTCTGGAATGACCTGCCCCCCGACCTACGTACAATTGCGGACCTGCGCCTCTTCCGCCAAGCCCTGAAAACTCATCTGTTCCATGCGGCCGGCCTGGTGTAGTTTTGATTGGGTTTTGTTAGGGGTTTTATATTTTAGAGCAGGCTTTTATGTAATATTTACCGTGATTTTTATTATTGCCTGTTCACCGCCCTGAGTCCCGTAAGGGAGATAGGGCGGTATATAAATTTAAATAATAAATAAATAAATAAATACATTCTATGGTGAAATTTGGAAATTGCACCATCGTTGATTGTCTATTATTGCTAGCATGGGGTCCTGAAAATAAAGCTTTGTTGGAAAAGAATTGCAACTGAAAAAAAATAATTCTGGAACAAGTAATTTCATATACATGTAGACCTAAGTACATTGTGCCTTGGTACTCAACTGTTTTTATCAAAATTGATACTCAATGCATTTTGACATGAAAATTTTGTCCCTGAACTCATTGTTTGTTTGGTACTCAATGAAAAAGCTAGAATGTGTTGTTGTCAGCTGCCTTTGACTCAGTACATTATACCTTATGGGGAAAAAAATGTTTGGTACTCATCATATCTCCCAGAACCAATTAGTGATGAGTATCAAGATACCACTGTATATTTTTTTGCAGTTTTCCATTGTAGGTTTTGCTGTAGATGCCAAGAAAATGATACAGTTATTCTGTCCTCTTTTCCAATTGTCCATGTTCTCCTTTGCCTGTTCGGTTATATTTGTTAATCCTCCCCTGAAATAGGAAATTAATTCCTATTTTCTTATAGTCTTTCTATTTGGGTTGGTTTTGGGATTCAGGCAGTGGAAGGTGGGTTGTGGATTTTAATTAATTGGATTTTAATTAATTTTAATACATTTTTCATAGCACTTTTAAAAACCTGTTTTTTCATACTTAGAATTAATTCGAACATTCTTCTATTACCCTCATTATCTCTCTTAAGCTCTTGATAATGAAGTAACATAATGGGAACAGAGTTTAAAAGTAGAAAATTGTGGTCAGTCCAAATCTGTCTCCCCATATGTCTTTCAGTACTGGAAAAAAAAACATAACAAATCTAAAAAAATATTATATATACCAAATCTTTAAAAAAAACATCCCCAAAAACCTTGCCAAACAATAAACATTCAGACAAATCTGAATCTGTTTGTCTAGGTGTATTTAAAAAGGACCCAGCTTCTAAAATTTTATATCTATCTGTCTGTCTGTCTGTCTGTCTGTCTGTCTGTCTGTCTGTCTGCCTGCC